ATACATGCATACATACACAGTTGAAGTCTTATACAATTGACAAAAATATAAACAGAAAAAGAAACAAAACAAAAAAAGAAATATACAGAAAAAAGGAAACAAAAATTCCTTAATATATAGAAAACGAAACAACAAAAATATAGACCAAAAGAAACAAAAAATATATAAACAGAAAAAAGCTAATAAAATGAAACAATATTAAAAAAGCAATTTTGTTGATTGTCTAATTATGATTACTATAAAACTGTCTTGAAAGAGAGTTTCATTTGTTTATTATATTTTGCATGAACTGTTACATTAAAAGGTTGTCTACTTAGACACGGAGCTTAAGTGTGACCTTTGGTTGAGCGTCTTGTGTTTGTGCCATTGCAGGATTTTTTACTAATTCTTTTGACCTCTCTCACCCTTACAAACACACACACACTGAGTCTACATTTCTCTGAAACCTTTAGATTGAATCGGACGGGTTGTGCTGTAAAGTGCCACAGTTTGCCAATGACTGATTTCTGATATTTCATTCCACTTCTCTGCTCCATTCTCACTGGCTTTACTAATGCAATGCGAGAAGGATTCCCTCTGAATGCTGCTTAACATGTGACTGAATGTGGCTTTATTATGTGCTGGTTAATGCTTCTCCAGAATGTCAGGCCAAGAGATACTAGAGTGTTTGGCCTTTACAGCTTCCTGTGAGAGAAAATACTTCAGCTTCAAATACTCACTTAAACAGCTTTATAGGGTCTCACACAGTTGAAGGCTCAATTATTAGCCTTTAAGGTGTTTATTGTTCTTTCAAATATTTTCCAAATAATGTTTAACAGAGCAAGGCATTTTTCACAGTATTTCCTAAAATATTTTTTCTTCTGGAGAAAGTCTTATTTGTTTTATTTCGGATATATTTTTATTTCATTAAAGATTAAAATTTTTTTAAAGCCATTTTAAGATCAATATTATTAGCCCACTTAAGCAGTTTTTTAATTGGCTACAGAACAAACCACTGTTATACAATAAGTTGCCTAATTATCCTTACTTGCCTAATTAACCTGGTTAAGCCTTTTAATGTCACTCTAAGCTGAATACAAGTATGTTGACAAATATCTAGTAGAGTTGTATGTACTGTCATGACAAAGATAAAATAAATCATTTATTAAAACCATTATGTTTAGAAATGTGTTGGATAAATCTTCTTTCCATTAAAAAGAAATTGTGGGAAAAAAAACTGTACATGAGGGCTAATAATTCAGGAGGGCTAAAAGTTCAAGAGGGCTAAAAGTTCAAGAGGGCTAATAATTCAGGAGGGCTAATAATTCAGGAGAGGGCTAATAATTCAGGAGGGCTAATAATTCAGGAGGGCTAATAATTCAGGAGAGGGCTAATAATTCAGGAGGGCTAATAATTCAGGAGGGCTCATAATTCAGGAGGGCTAATAATTCATAAGGGCTAATAATTCAAGAGGGCTAATAATTCATAAGGGCTAATAATTCAGGAGGGCTAATAATTCAGGAGAGGGCTAATAATTCAGGAGAGGGCTAATAATTCAGGAGGGCTAATAATTCAGGATGGCTAATAATACAGGAGGGCTAATAATTCATAAGGGCTAATAATTCAGGAGGGCTCATAATTCAGGAGGGCTAATAATTCAGGAGGGCTCATAATTCAGGAGGGCTCATAATTCAGGATGGCTAATAATTCATAAGGGCTCATAATTCAGGAGGGCTAATAATTCATAAGGGCTAATAATTCAGGAGGGCTAATATATCAGGAGGGCTAGTATTCAGGAGGGCTAATAATTCAGGAGGGCTAATAATTCAGGAGGGCTCATAATTCAGGAGGGCTCATAATTCAGGAGGGCTAATATATCAGGAGGGCTAGTAATTCAGGATGGCTAATATATCAGGAGGGCTAATATATCAGGAGGGCTAGTAATTCAGGAGGGCTAATATATCAGGAGGGCTAATATATCAGGAGGGCTAATATATCAGGAGGGCTAATATATCAGGAAGGCTAATATATCAGGAGGGCTAGTAATTCAGGATGGCTAATATATCAGGAGGGCTAATATATCAGGAGGGCTAATATATCAGGAGGGCTCATAATTCAGGAGGGCTCATAATTCAGGAGGGCTAATAATTCAGGAGGGCTAATATATCAGGAGGGCTAATAATTCTGATTTCGACAGTATGTTATAACGAACACATTAATATCTATGCAAGCCCTGCATTTGCTAGATAAACCAAACGGTAATTCTCCTTTATTCAATATCTCATTAAAATCTGCTGCAAAAAGCAGTGAATTAATGAGTGGATTAATTCAACTAAACACATGCACATTTTACACTTAAACAATGACTTTTGCTGTTTGTTTAAGCTATGTATTTAAAATAAGTTGAAACAACACAATTCTTAAGTTTTTTTTGGGAACAACTTAATTGTTTTAAGTTTAGTCCACTTAAATTTGTAAAAAAAAAAAAAAATTACGTTAACTTGAACATTGTGTGGAACCCAGCATTTTTTATTTTACAGCGTATAGATTTTTAGTATCTGTAATCTGTAAAATGTGTAATTACAGGTACAGTAATGTTGATGAAATTTAATATACATTCCACAACTATTATTAATAATAACTGTTATTCTGCTTTTTGTCAGCGGATTTTGGAGTTTCTGCCAAAAACACCAAAACCCTCCAAAGACGAGACTCTTTTATTGGGACGCCTTATTGGTAAGTGCTATATATAAAACAAACTCTCCATTAAATGGAACTTGGGAAACATAAAAAAAAAATTACATTTTCAAATAATAATGTTAAATTTCCCTACAAAAAAAAACAAACAAACATAGCTGAGCGAAAAGATCTTATTCTATCAAAATGTTAGTTTACTCACTTTATAGGAGCACAAAATAAATACCAACATAGTCAAGACTAAACATTTAAGAAGCGCTAATTAAACATCAATGCTTCAATGCATGATTTCAACCACAAATCTAATTTACCTCATTAATATTAAAATTTACATCATCAATTTTCATTATATTATTGAAAATGACATGTTTGGTGTTTAAGGTTTTGCATAGAGAGTGATAGAGAACTGATATCCTACAGAAGCTCTAAACAATCATTAACTAGAGTACAGATTAAATGTCCTAATATAAAGTGTCTGTCCTACCTTTGTCCTTCTTTTGAGTATACACAAGGGTAGCTAAATTAGTGTCTCTGTGTATCTATAAACATTCTATAATTAGCTGACACTTATTTTGTTTGTCACTGGGTAAATATATTAGTACATTTTAAGCAGGGCAATGTTTTAAGCTTCCCTCAAAAAAAAAAAAAAAAAAAACATTTAATATTTTGCCTGTTTACATGGCATTTTTGTTTTTGGGACTAAAACAGATACATTTGTCAGTATATTTTGACAAAATATATTTTGACTCTGCATTGATCATGGTGGATGCACAAATATAGTTACACCAAGATTAAAACATGAAAGAACAGTAAGGAGGTTTGCTGAAAGAAACTTGCTGAAATGTACTGTATCTATGTCATCAGCTTTACCGTGTAAAGATGTCAAATTTTATGTTTATAATTTATATAGTCACATATAAAATAATTCTGTAAACAATACTAAGAAATACAGTTCTATTTATATTCTATTTTTGTTACTAAGAAGCAATGATTTAAATATAAATATTACACATTCTTAACCATCTATTATGTTTCATTGTTCCACTGTGGAAATGACAATATATAAATTTTGATGTCTCTCATATTTTGTTCAAAAGCAACATTGGTATGGAATAGTGTAGAATGTTTTATAATAATTTATTTATTTAGTGTTTGTCTTATTCAAAATACATTTTTTTAACTTTTTTTTTCAAAAAGTAACGCAGCAGTTACGAGTAACAAGTAAAAGGGTAACACTTTACAATAAGGTTAATTAGTTAATGCATTTACTAACATGAACTAATCATGAACAACACATGTACAGCATTTATTAATCACAATTGAACATTTACTAATGCATTATTAACATTCAAGTCCATGCTTGTTAACATTAGTTAATGCACCGTGAGTTAACTTGAACTAACAATGAACAACTGTATTTTCATTAACTAATGTTAACTAACATGAACAAATACAGTAGTAAATGTATGGTTTGTTGTTTGTTTATGTTAGTAAATGCCTTAAATAACATTAACTAATGAACCTTATTGTAAAGTGTGACCGGTAAAAGTAACGAGAAGTAACTCGTAGCTATAATTAGTTACTTTCATGACAATGTAATCCAGTTACTAGCTCAGTTACTTTTTGTGATAAGTTGTAACTATAATTAGTTACGTTTATAACAATGTAATCCAGTTACTAACCCAGTTACTTTTTTTGAGAAGTAAATAGTAACTATAGTCACTTGTATAACAATGTAATTTAGTTAACTCAGTTAATATTTGTGAGAAGTAACTGGTAACTATAATTAGTTACTTTTATAGTAACGTAATTTATGTACTGCATAACTATTTATGAGACGTAACTAATAAACATAAATAGTTACGTTTATAGCAATTTATTTCAGTTACTAACTCAGTTACTATTTTCAAGAAGCAACTAGCTTGCGCTTCATTCCGCTCCATTTCGACTATGATGAAATGTATTTTGTTTAAAGAATTGTTTTGTGCATGATTTTTTTGTTCGAAATAAATGAATCAAAACAAAAATCACATCAAATTTGTGAGAACTAGTAGCTATAATTAGTTACTTTTACAACAGTTTAATTCAGTTACTAACTCAGTTATTATTTGTGAGATGTAACTAGTAACTATAATTAGTTACACTACTAACAATGTAATCTAGTTATTAACTCAGTTACTTTTTTTGAGAAGTAAATAGTAACTATAATTAGTTACGCTTATAACAATGTAATCCAGTTACTAAGTTACTTTTTGTGAGAAGTAACTAGCTTGTACTTCATCCGGCTCCATTTCAATGATTTTCTTTGTTGTAAATAATTAAATAAAATCCAAAATCAAATTTGCGAGAAGTACTTATTAACTATAATTAGTTACTTTTATAACAGTTTAATCCAGTTACTAACTCAGTTACTATATGAGAGAAGTAACTATAACTACTTTATAACAATGTTATCCATTTACTGAGTTACTATTTCTGAAAAGTAAATAGTAGCTATAATTAATTACTTTTATAACTCAGAGTGTTTCTCTTGTTTCTAGTCTAAATATCTAAAAATTCCTAAATCAAGAAGGTTTTTTTTTTTTTAAAGAAGCAACATAATGTAAAGCAAAAACATGATTATTTTGCTTGTTTGAAGGAAAACTTACTACATTTTACCTATTTCTTAAAACAAGGCAAAAAAATTTTCTTGTCTAGAAAATGCTTCTTGATTTTAAGAATTTTGTATTAGAAACAAGACAAAAACATCATTTTTACACCTTTTAAATTTTTTTTATTTATTCTGTTCCTGCTGTTCCTGCTCTAAATCATCTTGTATTTTCAGGATGGCTCCAGAGGTTGTGATGTGTGAGACCATGAAGGATGCTCCATACGACTACAAGGCTGACATCTGGTCACTGGGCATCACGCTGATAGAGCTGGCGCAGATAGAGCCGCCACACCATGAGCTCAACCCCATGAGGGTCCTGCTAAAAATCGCCAAGTCTGAGCCGCCCGGCTTAGATCAGCCTTCCAAGTGGTAAGCCACAAAATTCAATGGGCTTGGTAGTGACTGCTCAGTATTTAAGTCATTACTGTGAAATTTCTCAAAAACACGAGCTGATCTCAGAGCATAGCTGTGGCTTGTTTTTGTTTGATTTATAGCTTTCGACATTTCTATAACTGAATGTTGACAAGGAGCGGCCATTTAAAGGAATAGTTCACCCAAAAATAAACATTTACTCACTATATACTCTCCCTCATTGGTTTTAAACCCTTACGATTTTCTTTTTTTCTGTTGAACACAAAAGATGATGTTTTAAAGAAAGCTTTTGACTTTCATAGTAGGAAAATCTAATACTATGTAAGTAAGAACAAACCAGATTTTTCCAAGCAAATTCTTTCCACCTCCACGGAGAGGTAATTGTATGTTGTATCTTACAGGCAGAAAGCCATTTTTCAATTGGAATTTCTTCAATCGCTAATTCTCTTTTCCATTTCTGCCTAATGTAGTTTGTGAAATCTTTTCTATTTTCCCTAAGGGCTTGGTACAGGGTTCTTACGGGTGCTTGAAATCCTGGAAATGCTTGATTTTTAATATAATGTTTTCAAGGTTAGAAAAGTGCTTGGATTTTTGACAAAGTGCTTGAACCTGTTTGAATTTGAAATTGCAGGGTTTAAAATTGTGACCGTTTTGTTTGCAAATGCGCACAATTTTATCTATGACCTCAAAATATATTTGGGAGCATATGTGCGAGTGCATAAAATGTTGTCGTGCGACCAGTTTTCATTGCAAAATGTTCACCGCATGCGCGTATTTATAATAATATGCCAAAACAATCTGAATTTGAATTGTGTTAAATTGAATTATTAACAATTGTAAGTTAATAAAACTGATTATATGCTATTGAAATGTTTTGAATTTGAATTTCTTAACTTGATTATTGAACATCTGAAATTTAAGACAACTTAATTTTTTAAGGCAGATTTTTATAGACATATTTTCAAACTTCAGATTTTTTTTGGTTCTGAATTCAAAGACTGCAGATATTGGGTATGTAGATAGCTGCAGATAACTGTATAAATACAGTTTTAAGATTTTAAGAAGTCAAATGAACACAATTCAAATTCTGATTGTTTTGGCATACTATTAGCTTCATGCGTATTTAGGAGACATTCACCTAGACTGCATCTTTGCATCTGAAACACCAATCCAACGACTTTAAAAAGAATAGCAATGCACATGAAATATCATGGACGACTGGTCATGAACGTTTGGTTCTACACCCAAACTAAATCTGACTGTGAGCTCATTTCGAGATATCAACTTTAGGTAGAAAGAGACCAAACTTAAAAACATACTTCCAATACTTTTAGTATCCAATAACTGAACTTTATTTATTTATATTTATATATATATATATATATATATATATATATATATATATATATATATATATATATATATATATATATATATATATATATATATATATATATATATATATATATATATATATATATATATATATATATATATATATATATATATATATATATATATATATATATATATATATATATATATATATATATATATATATATATATATATATATATATATATATATATATATATATATATACATATATATATATATATAT